AGACGCACTGTAGCCAGTTCCTCCCATGAGAAAATAGAGATGTGAAGCTCATGTCAGTCGGCCTGTGGGAGAGAGAAGGGGCAGGGCACCTGGCTTCAGTGAAGATTCACAGCTTCTACCTCGTTGGGGCAAAGCCTTGGACTGTGCCCCATCTGTGTAGGAAGGAACGTTGGCTCTGCCGCTGTTCTTGGGGCTTCCAGGCATTCCAAGATCTAATCAGAATAAAAGGTCTCAGTTAATTGAGGGTTTCAGGCTTTATGGAGGAGCACAAGAAGGATAATATGGCTCCTTGCCTGAGCTGTAGATTCTGCTGGAGAGATGTCTTCTTTTTTCCACAGGTGCTCTGTCCTTTAGAACTTTCCAGCAGCATCTGCAGAACTTTTTCAAGACACCTTGAGCTCTAGTTAGTGTGCATCTTCCTAATAAGTTGTCATAAAGATTATACGTCAGTGGGTACATATAAACCAACTGCAGTCAAGTTCTGGTTTGTGCCTGTGCATCTTTACTTCAAAAACAAGGCTACAAATGTGTTGGGTGCCTTCTAGGGTGTAGTTTCCTTATATAGCACCTTCATACTGCTTGATAATTAACCCCTCTGTAGCCCCTTGAGTGTCCTAGGCTTCTTTCTGAAGGATCGTTTAGTTGTAAAAGTACTGTCTTACTGTGCATAGAACAGCTGCTCAGAGGTTTGGAATCTCACTCTGTTATGTGGCTGTCAGCACTGCTTTATACTCTGGGATGGTGAATGCTGTAGGGGTAAAATCATTTGTGATCAATGTCGTTACTGTTTCCAAATTCATTTAATACTGGAGCAATTTACCCGTATTGTATCTTACTGCTAAAAAATAAGGCAGGAGATTGAGAAGGATGAGTAAATTCTATGTATTGTCTGACCAGGAGAAGTGCAGGTCATGCCTTGGAATTTCTGAGATATTTAACCTTTAAGCATTCCTCACTTTAATTGTAAGAAAGCATCCAGAAATAATGGCTGCCCAATTTTTACTTCAAAGCACTAAATTTAACTTTAATATTGCCACCAGAGGGCAGCATGTTACACGAGCTGGCAGTGCAGAACCTGGTCTATTCTGATTTTAAGCAAAGATGAACTTGTAAAATTTGAGTTTTGAAAAGTATCAGTCGTTCATTTACAAATTTATCCTGTAATGTTCAGCTTGTAGCTATGTCCTCAAATACTTGTCATGGCATTAGTTTTCTGAGGAAAGAGAAGTGACATAACTGACATCTGTCAAGTGAAAACTAAACGTAACTGTTCCATAACTCACATTCTGGTGCCCTTATATTATTATTACTCCTTCATACAACTTCCATAAGACAGAGGTATTGGGAGCTTACTACCTTACTTCTTGCATTGTTTTTACCAGTCATAAAATTCATTCTTCCTGTTTTGGTCTCAAGGACAGTAAACCTACATTATTTACTGGCTTTCTGTGATAGAATGGATGTTGAAGTTGATTTAATTCTACATTCAGTGTTTTAAGGATGAATTTACCTTAAATGCAGGATTTGTACTGTTTAGTAGTTCAGGTTTTGGGTTGTTTGGGTTTTTTTTTTTTCCTGAGGTGAGCACCACGAAACTTGACTTCTTGAGTCCTGGGTAAGAATATGATCTAGGAAACTCCTTAAACAAATCAACTTAAGTGATATTATATCAGAATATTGTAACTCAAAAACCTCCTTTGTTAGGTTAGTAGGTGCAAGTTTACACAACAGGTAAATCACATCTCGCAAGACTCACTTTCCCACTTGTCAGGGTTTTGCTATTATTAGAGAACCTAGTTATAATGTGAACATGTGAACGCAGTTGGAAAACATCTTGTATATAACCTTTTTTTTAATGGTGTGGTACAGCTGCATTCAATAGTCTCACGCATAAAAGCAGCAGTAATTTGTGATTTAGAAACATTAAAACCAAGAGCTAAACATGAAATGTAGACATTTTCCTGAAGTCAGTGTTTTCTTTAATTTTTCTGAAGTATAGTCTAAAATTTTCATATTTGGAAGTCAAACATACTGTTTTTGCAAAAGTCTCTCTCTCGCTTTTATGCATGATGGAGGTACTGTATTCTGGGGCCTTGCCATCTTTCCAGTGACTGAGTATCACCCCAGATTGAATCTGGTGTTGCCTCTCCTAGGGTAGTGAAAATAAACCTGGACCTGAGCTGATTTCAGGTGGAAGAGCTCGAGTATCTTTGTGTGGTGCTTTAGTAACAGCAGCAGCATTATGGGAAAGTACAGCGCAGCCGCGGAAGGCTTGGTGGGCAGCCAGCTGAGTCCTTGAGGGCTTACTGGTGGAGGACTTGTGTTGAGTGGAGGTGACTAAACGGCACCTGGATCCAAGTTGGCTTGTGAAGTGCTCCAGCTGTGTTCTTGCAGTCTCCTGCACATGGGCTAATAGTCAAACTGGATTTAAGGGGAGACCACTCTGTCTTTCTGCATCCATGGCTCAGTTAATCTGCAAATAGGATAAACTGCTCATAAATAATTGAGAGTTTATAGTATACTGCATGTTCCAGATAAGAGTTAGAACATGCAGTATTAAAATAGATTTTTCGAAGTCATCCATTATACCGAGTTCACGTTCTTTTCCTTGCTAATTGGGGCACTAGCATGCGATACCAAAATCTGATAATGATATTCTTAAAAGTGAGTAGACTGCTGTTTTCAGTGAAGTTCTCAGGTGATTATTTCAAGTCCATCTACACTTTGAAGTGTAAGCTAACTTAAAATACGTGGATGCAAAAAACACATGGAAGTCTCAAGGGATGTGAGTCTCTTTTCATGGCTGATCAGTAGCAACTTTTCAAGATCTATACCAAATGAAGAAAATGTGAGGTAGACTTACATGCTATATTCTTGTCAAACCATTGTTTTTAAATAGGAATTATTCAGATGTGACCCAGTGCAGGCTGGCATTTTGCCATGAAGAATAACAGTATATGCTGTTTTAACACTAATATATGGTGCAGCAGTCACTGGTGGAAATGTAGTAGTCAGATCATGTCTTCGCAAGACAACTGAAATGGTGAACCTGAGATTAATGGAATATTTGGTTTCTTTAGGCAATGTGTTTAATACTGAAATAGACTTTACTGAACTCAGTATGGTTTTTTGCTTTTACAGTACACATATAATTATGCTGAAGGCAGGTGAGGTGGGATCACAGTGTTTTGCAGTATATTTTACTTTTTTCTTTTTTTTTTTGAGGATAGATGTGTTCTTGTGGTGATCTGTTCTTGAGCGTAGCATCCAGAAGATATGTTTTGCTCAGCTGTGTTAGTTTGGAGTTTTCAGTCTGTTAAAAGTCTAGTTTTGTTGGTCTAAAGTAGTTTTTATAGATCTAATGTAATTCTCATTAAATTAATTCTAAGAGCCAAGGCATACTTAGCCAACATCTTCTAGAATTGTTAGAAGTGCCAGTTGTTAAGTGCTTGTTTACATAAAGTTATCATAACACGTTTTTAAGACTTCAAGTTCTGTTTAATGTCTTGCAGAAATAGGAGTAAGCACGTATCCTCACCGATTCCAGCTGTGTGAATTTCCAAAGCTTTTGACTTGCACCTTTCAGTAGTCCCATGTATGAGACCATTACAATAATTAGTGTGTTATCAGAAACCAAGATAAGTTTGAGAATTCTTTTTCTTATACTGAAAACTTCAATTTCTGAGGAATTTGAATCAATTCTTAGCTGGCCGAAAGCCAATTTTTCCCCTCAACTCTAACGCGTGTTTGAAAAACGAACTCGCTTCCTAAGTGCCTTGTGAATCTGCAATGATTAATTCTTCTCATTATTTTGCTGCAAATTCTCATGACCCTCTGTGATGATTCGATCACCCACTTAGAGTTTATGCATATTCATATCTTTCCGCTCCTGCTGCAGTCGTTCCGAGTCTCCTTCACTGGCTGTGGTGTGTGCTTGGTGCAGTAATTGAGCTGCAGTAGATTGATTACTCTGGGGAGCTGTAAGGCCTTTAAAGGTGAAAACATATCAGTCCTGTTAATTAGGAAACAAAGCTCTGGTGGCAAGTTCAGCAGTCAAATGCTTCCAGTGTAGAAATGAGGAAAGGTATGATTTGTTCCTCTCCATGAACCCTGTTTACTTTTTTATATTTGAATTAGATCTGCATTTGCTGTAATAGGCTTTTGCAGAAGATAGCGTATCTCGTATGATTGCGTGGTGTTGGTATTTTAAACCAAAAAGGAGCTGTATGTTTGATATTGATTGTAATTATAAGCTGCTGTTAATCACCTCTTAAATTATACATTATTTTAGGCATTAGTTGACCTATAAAGTTAAAAGAGAGATGAAGAATGGAATCATTGATTGTAAACTTTAACTGAAAACATTTATAACATTCACTTTTTCAGATTGAATGTCAAAGTCTTTTCTCTGAATTAAAACAATAGATTTTCAGAAATATTAAAACCGGAGGCTTCTTCTCTCCACTATTAAGATGTCTGCCTATCGTGTGCAAGATTAATTAAGGAGAATACGTTCTTAAAATTAGGTGAATATTAAATGATAGCATAAGGTTTCATCCAGCAGACAGCATCCTTACATCATCATTGTAAGTACCCTGTGGTTTTATGTTGCTAAGCACTCTAATCTAGAGTGGCCTATTACAAAGATATTAAGGGTAGGGGAAACCATCTGCCACACAATCTATCCATAAGGGTCAGAAATAAATAATTTAAAAGTAATTTATATATCTTAAAAACCACTTTTTCCCTTCTAATTACTGGACAACAGATTGTAGAATACAGATGCTAAGAAAGGGCCACTGTTTTGTAAGCAGTGTGTGATCCACTGCTAGTACACGGTAGTCTATAGGCTGCTGTTGTCATACCGGTCCCTGCTGAAGTCAGGGAGAAAAGTCTCGCTGAAACAACTGCTCGTGAGATTGGATTCCAGTTAGTGCGTCTTACACCAAAGGATATCACATTCACTGTGTTTGTGTTGTGTTCTTTTTCCTCTGTTTTAGGCATTTATTAACACTGCAAAGGAGATCTACGAGAAAATCCAGGAAGGAGTTTTTGACATTAATAATGAGGTAACTTTTAGTACTCTGAACACTTGTTTGTTTTTTTAAATGCAGGAGATTCACCTTCCCTAGAAGGCTGGACAGTAAAATATTTGTCTGTTCCATTTGGATATAGAATTGTCTGCCATTGTGATAAAAATGGATTAAAATAAGTGACCCTATCCATCCATGAAGCATCACAAAATAATATAAATCCCCAAAAGAGAAGAAAATCCACTTTCATCCACTTCTCCATATGGTGTCATCTGTTTTCAAAGATAATTTTCCACTATGTAAATGGGGGACCATGTTGATATGCCAGCTGCACTCCATGAGCTGTCCAGTGTAGGGGAGGGATTGCTTTGAGAGTTACATAAAAGACTTTTGAAATGTTCCTGGTTTAGGTGGCTGGATTCTATAGGGAATAAAAGATTAGCCATTTTGCCTGTGCACATTACTGAAATTACAGATTACTGGGGCCTGTCTCTTGCTTGTTTGGGGTGGGGGTGGGGAGGTGAAGCAGAGAGCACTTTTGTAATGCAAGAGCCTAGAAGGACCTAGAATGTCTTGCTTGAATTTTTAATGATTGTGCTGTTGAAAATCTTGAGCAGTTAGGACAGAGGTTCATGGCCACAGAAAAAGCAGCTTCAAGTTCCATGGTACCTAACAGAAATGCTGGGATCATATGGAAATGCCAGGATCTATAAGCTCTCTGTTAACATTCACCTAAAAAGTTGCACCGTGTGGAGTTTAAATTTGGCAGTGTAAAGTGGTCAGTCCTTTCTGAAGCCTGAGATTTTTATTTTTTTTTTTCCATCCTGCATGTCCCTAGCTGTCGTTGCTGAGGTTCTTAGTGAAACCACCTGTGAAAAATCTGCACCACCACACTCTGTTCTGTATCAGTTCTGTGATTAGGTGCCTTCTTTGGGACTGGCAGCCTGACGCTTCTCCAAAGCGTGATAGTTCTTGCACAATCGTTCAGAGTAGTGAGAGAATTGGCAGGACTCAGTTAACTGTTGTCACTCCTTTCTGCTTAATATGAGAAAATACTGCTCTTATGACTTCAGAGAGGAAATAATGAGAAACTTGAGCAGTATGCGAAGTATTTGCATAGGAAACTTGTAGCTAAATAAGGCTTGAACAGTAATCCTTCAAAGATAATTCTAGCTGGAAAATGTGTGTGTGTGTATACGGTGTTTTCGTGAAACACTTTTGTATTTCAGTTTAGTGATGAAAAACTTAATTTTCTTGAACATTTTTCCCAAAGAAAGCGCACTGGGGAGTGCAGTATAAATTGGAGAGTAATCAGAGTGTCTGAAAAAGCACGCTCATGTATCTGTCGAGTTTCATATAGTAGCTGACTGCTTTACTGTGCCTTATGGAGCTCTGATTGCAATATGCTGTCAAGAGCCAACAGTCCGTGCTATTTATTTGGCTTGATGCCAAGTCTGGCTCCTTGATTCCTCAAGAAGTTGCTATCAGCCCAGAGGGGGCAAAACCAATGAGCCATAGGGCATGCTTTTTATTAAAGAGGAGTCAAAGAGCGAAAAGAAACCACATCAGCTGCTGTCAATACTGAGCTAGTGCCAGAAACCCCAAGGCTACCACTGTTGCAGAACAACTGCCAAGCACTATAAATCTGAGATTTACTGTGACGCAAAGTTTCCTTAAGAGCTTAATTTCTGAAGCTACTGTATTACTTTTCTCAAAGTGCTGTATTTTTAGGTAAAATCCACTTGAGGGAGTGAGGGTTAAGATATAAGTGTGATTTTGATGAATGAAAGAGCTGCGCCGTGTGTGGGTTCTTGGCAAGTAGCCACGTCTTTCGGGATCATAGAAATTATTGATGACACAGAACACTCGTATGCCCTTAGCCTCTACAGCTGATTCAACACAGAACAAAATGCTGTCTAGAGAGGAAAAGTTTTATATTAAACTATTAAACTAATGGAGATTTTGGTGAGAGGGGAGAGGTTATTCATTCCTAGCCAATGCTGTGTATTTTTAAAGCCTTATGCCAAGTAGTATTCAAACACAATTCTTGCTCTGTATTTTCGTACTAGAAGTTTAAGGTGCAGAGTTTAACAGAGATAAATTGTAAGTGAGAAGGAAAGCATCTTACTTTAAATTATATTTAATCTCCAAGGACACATTGCTTAAAAAAATACAAGTTTTTCTATATTTATCACATACATTAGCAGAACTTACTATATAATCTAATTTTTATAAAAGCGCTTTTCGAGTACATTAGTGTTCTAAAATAATTAAGCTGTGTCTTAAACTTCATTTCAGGCAAACGGCATAAAAATTGGCCCTCAACATGCTGCTACTAATGCAACGCTCGCAGGCAGTCAGGGAGGACAACAAGCTGGAGGAGGCTGCTGTTGAGCCTGTTTTACTTTCTAGCTGCCTGGATGGGGCCTACTAACTTGTTTGTTCACCCTTCCCTCCCCCCACCGCCCCGCTCGCCTCCACTTCAGTTCAACTGAGACATGAAACTTGTAAGTTGGTTTCCTGTTGCAGAAGACTTTATCCTTCAAATTCTTGTATAACTTTGAATAAATGGTTAATGTTCACTTAAAGACAGATTTTGGAGATTGTATTCATATCTATTTACATTTGATTTCTAGGTCAATTGATGTGATTATTTTTGTTAAATGTTGTCTTGTGCCCTTGACTACGAACTGAATTGTATTAAACACTACAAAGTCATCTGAGTATTTTAATCAGTTTGTGTAGTTAGGTTTCCTGGCTCCTGCCGTTACCTAATATTTAATATTGTAGAGCTGTCCTCAAGTTTTTTTGTCAATTTTCAAGGCTATAAAGAGAAGCGGAAGGACTCTTTTAATTCTGTATTTATCACTTTCTGTATATATATAGTTTAATAACCTGCTTGGGTGTACTTGCCAAGCTAGAATTCTTTAATGCATTTGCATAAATTCTATACTACTTAGAGCTTGAAAACTACAGAAGCATTAATAGAAACTGCTTGGATGCTAAATTTTAAGCCTTTTTGACATTGTTAGCATGTTCATCCTCCCCTATCATTATCCTGAAGTCCAAGAGAAATGCTTAATGTATATTACTAGAGGCTACATGCGTGCTATCTATTTTAATGCCAAATGTTTGCTGTTTGTCCACAATTTCCACAGCACCTCTTCAGAAATGGATTAGCTGTTTGCCTTAACAAATACTGTAGGTGAAAACAGAGTATGGATGACAAGTAGAGGAGGAGTTGAGAAATTTAAAATGGCACATTATAAAAACGTTACTCTTTTCTTAATTTTTTTTTTCTTGTTTACCACTTGATTTCTAGGTATGTTTTTCATGCAAGGACAGTTTTTCAACCTAAATGTACAGTGGTTGTGTAAAGCTTTCTTTTAGTGACAACTTGTAATCCTAAATATATGGTAAGCATCTTGTCTATTGTGAAGAGGGTGTGAAAATAAAATCTGCCAGTTTGGAAATCTTGATGAAATTCAAAACTAGAAATGCTTTGGTACTTATTACGGTGGTGTTCAAAGGGAGGGATGTTTTGCCTCAAATGAAAGGGTTGCAACAAAAAAATATCCTGTGTTTAAGTGTTTATTTGTTAAAGAATACTCATGTCACTTTTCCTACAAATGAGGAAACAACTGACTCTCCATCTCATCCTATTTAAATAAATTGCATACAGAAGGGTGACACTAATGCTAGGCCATGCTTCATGTATCTAAAAAAAAAAAAAGAGGGTGTGGGGGTCAGGAAATAACTGCAAAACTTTTGTCTTATTGGACCAATGCTGACTGCAACACCGCGCTGGGGGACATGGGTCCTCTATCATCTATTCTTATTGTCAGAACTTTAACAATGAAAGTGAATAAACTTCAGCCTGACAGGTGTAACATAGCAGTGGTTCTGAGATTAAATAAACTTTTAAAATGTGTGGAAACTATTGTTTGTATCTGGGGGAAGGGTCAGGCGATAAGGATTTATGTTAGTTACTGACTTCAGCTCTCTCACATTTAGGAACATTATAACCAATGCAATATAATTGTTTTCAGCCGTTTTAAGAGGTTATTTCATTTACATACTTTCAACGGTTACCTGTTTATTGTATGAAGATTGCATTTATAAAACACTCTTACTGTTTCAGTTGAAGTTTGAAAATTGTGTTGCATGACAGTAAAACCGTAGGACTGAATTGCGTTGATGCCAAGGGAAAACTGGCTTCTAGTAACTGGGTGCTTGCAGGAAGGAACAAGCGAGTACTCACTTGAATTAACTGCTTCAAGACTTTTTGCAGCTGGCAGCATGGCAGAGCTCAGTTGCTTGGGATGAGGTGAGAGGAAAGCTTGCTCTTCTGCACCAGGCTCACCTTTATGACAGATGAGAGTAAATTTCTCCTGGCCATAAAACTTGACCCTGTTCAGGGAGCAGAGGAGGGGAATTTGTACCCTATCCCGAGAACAACAAAATGGTGATGATTTACAAAGCTAAAGCTTCTGATAGCCACTCTTTTTCTGAAAGCATGGAAGATATATCGAATCAAGCAGGAATCTAGGGCTATTATAGCAAAGAGCCACTGATGCTTTTTTTGTTTTTTGGAGGGGTGAAGGGCAGGGGGAATGTGCTATGATTTTCTGCAGTTGCATATGCATACTGGGTTTTGATCCTGCTGATTAGTCCTGGCTTATATGTCAGTCCTATACTGTACATCATATTAAGAATCTGGTATTTTCAAAGAGGAGCTAGAACAAAATCAAAGTTTCCTTATGTTATGGCTGGCTTTTTGTCACAAGCTTTGTTAATACATAATCCTTTTGTTGCTAAATGAGAAATCTGTGTGTTTCTGTGGTGGTTTTTTTTGAGAAGCCCCTGATGCTATTTTATCCAGTTAGAATTTGAAAACTGTACAACACAGAACCTAGCAGGAGGGTTTATTTGTAGAGGATGTGCTTTACAAGGTTGTTCTTTCACAGGTTCCAGTTCTACTTGTACATGAGTGACTGATAACTTGCTGAGCTTCTGTGTTGAATTCTAGTTGCTTTTACTGGTTACGTTTTCAGAAACAAAAAAATTAAAACATGTAATTGTTCCCTAGCAACTTGTACAGCTGTTACATGTAATGTAAAACTATTGATAGTGAAAAATCATGCCAAGGGTGCAGTTTCCCTATGCTTCAAATTTAGCATATGGTATAAACCGTAGTTAACTTACAAAAGATTAAATTTGGAGTGACAAATCCTCTAAGCATGACTTTAAGACTCATCTCTCTTATTTCTACTTAAAATGAGAAGCTCCAGGAATTTTGGCAGTCATTTAAAAAAGATTAACACTCCCCTTCAATTTGATACCTGTGTGTTTATGTTGACTGCAATCTTTCTAATTTATTTTTGTGCAAGATCAGCCTTAGCTTCAGGTACATGAAGGCCAAAGCAGTTCCTCATAAGCTAAAGTAAGGAGAGACTGTCTGAAGTGCCTCGCAGGCAGTGGCGCTCCATTCCCTGCTCCCAGGGATGTCTCCTTTCTGCTGCGTTACGCTTTTTGTGACAGTTCATTGTGTTGTTGACTAGTTGTGAAGAGCCTTCAACTGCAATGTTTATGTATTGGTGGGGACTAAATCTGTCCTTGGGAAGAAACGAACCCCGTGTATGAGATTCAAAGTTATAGTTAACTGAATCTGAGTGGGAAAACCGTGTATTAGAACAACTTAAAAATATCAGAAGGCAATTTTGTGTGTTAAAGTTTTCTTTTTCTTCAAGTAATCATTCTAAATGAGGGGGACTCCAATGTCCCTGCATTTTTTTGCCCCAAGTTTTACCAGGAGGGTATTGCTTTCGTAAATGGTGACGCCTGAGATAGCAGTTCCTCTTGATGGGCTATTCTTTTGACACTACTGATTGTCCTACAGCTCTCTCCTTGGACTGATTGGTTTGTTTGGTTTTCCTCCTAAATCAAGTTTCTCTCCTATATTATCTCCTTTTTTTTGTCTTGTGTGTTCTGGCATTTTTTCATTCAAATAGAATCCAGTGAGCAAAGTGCTGCTCTCCGTCTTTACTCCTCCACATCTGTTACGCCTACGCTTAAGGAATTTGCCCGATATGGGGCATTTGCTTTGGGGAGGGAAGGGTGGGGCAGAGGGAGAGAGGGGTATGCTGTCTTGCAGTGTGACATAAAATCACGAGGGAAATATTGCATGGCTTCTGGTACTTGTTGCACATACAGTGTGTCCTGTTTT